GGTGCTCTGGGGTGAGCAGAGGCATTCTTCAGCAATTACTGGAAGTAGGGAATGAGAGAAGCTCACTCCCCACTGCTCACCCTAGGGCCCCTAAGTTCCTTCTGTGAAACTGAGGGAAGGTGCCCAGGCAATGTCTGGAGAAGGAAAAAACACTCTCACCCCTCTACTTTTCAAGCAAAGTAAATGACCCTCTCTACCAGGTATTACTAAGCAATTCCATAGACTCCTTGGTCAGTGATTGCTCAAAATACCTTTGTCCCTCCCCATTTCTACAGAGTTGTCCCAACAGAGAATCAGCTCATGCAATGAAAAATGTTACTGTGTGCAGCATGTATGCAAAATAGTAGTAATAGTAATAATAATAATAATAATAACAACAACAATAATAATAGGTGAGAACTACTATCCTGAGCAGGTTTGAGGATGGCCTTCTGGGACTCTAAGAACCCTCTGAAATTACATGCAAAATTGTTGATGTGCTTCAGCATGCTTAAAGTGAGTGCTTTTTTTTCTGGATACAGGACCCACGGCTTTTAGCTTCTAAAAGGGGTACCTGGCTCCAAAAGGTTTAAGAACCCCTGCTCTCAGATTTTTGGATTAAGCAGACACACAGACATTCCCATCAATCAGACCTCAGAAATGCAAATATAAAGATTCTCTCACTCTCTCCTTCTAATATGCAGCGAACACCACACTCAGAGCTGTAGTTCCAGAGCCATCAGCAACAATGTCCAACTCTCCTGCTGTCCTCGCTCCCCAGGGAGAAGTCTACATAGTGGCCCATGCTGCTTCTCCCCTCCTGACTAAAGGCCTGGAACACCAAGTGGAACTCTCTTTACTCTTCTTTCTGCCCTAGACTGCCACTGTGAGAGCCATGGCAAGAGACACCCATTACAGCTAAAGTACCAAGTCAGCTGAATCCATTCCCCTTCTAACTGAGCTGTCTAGGCCCTGTAAATGTTTCAGGAATCCCTGGTCCCAGTGCATCCAGGCACCACCTAGAGCCACTCTGGATATACCAGCACTGGGGTGAGACAGATATGACATTATTCAGCTCATTTCATATGGGAAAAACGCATACTATTTTTTAAAATTTTTAAAAATATTTTTAAATTTTTAAATATTTTGTTAATCTACACTGTTTTGGGTCATTGTGTGGGATGGAAAGATTTGGATGAATGAATCAAAATAGAGAAACAGAGGAATGACTCATACATGATCTTCCCACTCTGGTCTTCTGGTGGCCTTCAGAGTAATGGTGCCAGATGAGCTTATTTATCATCCCATCCGACTTACAGGAAGGCTCAAGGAACTGCAACTCTGGGCAGAAGTGAAACTAATTTTAACTCTTGCACCTTGTTGTGGACATCTCCGCTACCATTCCCGTAAAGGTCTGGTACCATTTTCCCAGGGAAAGGCTGGGAACTACAGGCCCAGACTAGCCCTGTGATTCTTCCTCACTAGCCCCTGACATGCTACTAAAGTCTGGTAAGTTATAGATAGGGCTTAACAAATGTTAAATGAGTGGAGAGCACAAGTGCTAATGGAATCCAATAGTGCCCCCTCCCGCAAACCCCTTACACACCAATTTAACCATTCTAGGGAGTCCAATTTAGAATAGAGGAGACATTAGTAGAGATGGAAGGGACTTGGGAAGTTACTGAACCTTCTCATACCTTGCTGAAGGGAAGGCTGATTCATACCACTCCCATGGAGCCAATGTGGCTCTATCCATCAACATTGCAAGTAATCTCTGACTCAGTCACCCCTCTTCTGAGAATCTAGTCTATAGATATAACTGCAAGGTTACTTAGTTATAACAGCAAGACTGGAAACCATCCATGTGTCCATCAATGGGGGACAGGTTAAGTAAATATGGTACATTCACACAGTAGAATATTATGCAACTCTGAAAAAGAATGAGGATGCCCCGTAGGAACTAATAATGGAAGGTCTCCAAAAGCAAGATGCAGAGTGGTATGTATGACTGGATGATACTTAGATTACAAAAATGGTGGGGTAGACAAGGAATAGTTTTTAAAATTAGTGTAAAAAATTCTGGAAGGATGCACAAGAAGACAAAAATGG